AGAGAGAGAGAGAGAGAGAGAGAGAGAGAGAGAGAGAGAGAGAGTAGTCTGAGTGAAGCAGGCGGGCAGGCGTCTGCCTTGGATGTCCTCCTGGCGCAGCCATGCTTTTCAACCTACGGCTTCCAAGGACCTTTTGGCCAGTTACCTAGCTCATAGACCTGCGTGTGAGGGATCTGGGGACCCAGCCTGACTTGTGAAGGGTTTGTGACCCAGTCTGTGAACGGGCTTGAGGGGTCTGTGAGCTCCAGACCCAGCCCTAGCTCAACAATCGGCCCAGTTGATAGTTAGAATGGGCTTGAGGGGTCTGTGAGCTCCAGACCCAGCCCTAGCTCAACAATCGGCCCAGTTGATAGTTAGACAAATTGATATTCAAATGCAAACTCTGCCTTTCTGAGCCTCAGTTTCCTCATCTGAAAGTGGAATAATAGTACCTACTGTAGAGGATTGAAATGAATGCACCGAGAGGCCTTGGCTCATTCTGGGTGTTAAGCAAATGGTGAGGACCCCCACGATGGTCATCACGAGTGGTGGAGGTTCCTGAGGTGGGACCGGGATGAGCTCTTCGTCTCCGGCCAGCTGTTCGTTCTGCTCCCACTACAACCAGCTCCTTCTGAAACTGTCTCTCATTTTCTGGGGCCGAGGCCTTGGACAAGCCATCTAACTTCCCTGTGCCTCAGTTTCTTTCACCAACAGAACAGGAATGATAACGGTACCTATCTTACAGGGCTGTTGAGAGGTGAAATGAGGGAATCCACTCACACAAGAGCGCTTGGCATGATGGACGCTTGGCAGATGCTCAAAAAATAGCATCTGGTGCAAGGAAACTGACTTCACTGCCCTGACGTGGAAGTGGAGGTATTTGTGTGTGGCCTGGCATCTCTCCCTGAGGTGTGGGTCTCTACAGAGGCCACTTGGAGGCCACTAAATGTGTGCTCATCAAATGAATCTGTGGAAATGAAATGAAGCCCCTGAATGACACAGAGCCGTGGGCTGTCCTTAGCCTGACCGCATTCAGGCTCTATTCCTGCCCACGGCACACACCTGCCCCAGGTGCCAACCTTATCTGAGGCACCACATCTTCCTGAAGAACTATCCCTGCCTGAGGTACGTCCCTGTCTGAGGCACTGTCCCTGCCTGAGCCATGTCCCTGCCTGAGGTACATACCTGCCTGAGGCGCAAGCCTCTCCGGTGGCCTTTGGCCATGCTGAGCTCCCATATACACACCACGGAGCTGGCCCCAGAGGTGACAATCATCGTGGGGGATGGGCACACAGCACACAGACAGCGGCCCCAGTCAGCCAGGTTCTCAAATGTCATCAGGATCTGTGGGAGATGGGGGATGAGCACTGGGGCAGGGCTGGCAGTGGCCGGGGGCCAAGACAGAGTGACAGAGACGTGAGTTAGCCTGGGTGCCATGGAAACCAGGGACATGCCGCATGTTCAGGAGCCAGGCCCTGGTGATGAAATCCAGGCTGTCCCAGGCCTGTCCTCAGGGAGAAGCTCCTACTCCAGCGGGTGGTGAGCAGGCACTTCTGGGGACACAGTGAAGACCCCTGTGAGCACCAGGAGGTGGCGGCCCAGCGTGGGGTGGTCAGGGCAGCATTCAGGATGGGGGGACATCTGGGGCCAGTTTCAACGGCTGCCTCATGAAGCCAGAGGGGCACAGCTGGGCAGGAGGGAGCTCGGAGGGTAGAGAATTCATCGGAAGTGATGGGGCGGGGGACTGGGGAACCAGCAGGCAGGTGGCTCGCTCCTGAGGAATGCCCACCTGTGTCCTCAGGGTCTAGGCCTGACTGGGGTGGGAGGAGTCCCCAGGACTTGTCACTCAGGCCGAGCAGAGTCTGGGTGGGCTGGCTCTGGAGGTGACAGCGTGCACTGCCGACTGCAAGCTCGGCTCCTTGGAACGAGGCTTAGGCTTGGCCGTGAAGGGCCTGTGCAGCGCCACACGCTCCCTCTCCCACCTGCCGGGGTGAGGGTGGCTGTCCCTGCCTCGGACACCCCTGCCCCGCTCCTCTGCTCACCTTGTCAGAGCCATAGGTCCCTAGGCAGCAACTGAAGTCATCGAAGCCCCAGCTGAAGGTCCTGTTCCACAGAGGGGGCAGCAGCACTTTGTTCTTCTCCACGGCCAGGATGGCCTTCTCGGTTGGGACGATGTGGCCAATGGCGCCTTTGGGGGACTCTGAGCCTAGAGAGAAAAGGTACATATCTGCCCCCCAGTGAGTACGGGGGAGCTTACACGTTGGAGGACGACACGAACTTGAGCGGGGCCCAGGGAGAAGGCGCCGAGCCTGACCTGACCGAGCCCTGCCCCTCGGCTCCTGTCCTGAGTGTGGGTATACAGGGCTCTGGGCCCCTTCAGCGATGATGCCAGGGGAGGAGGAGCAGAGGCTGTCCCTAGGGGCCTCAGGGGGACGCTGCCCTTCCCACCGCTCCTGGAGCTACCTGGCAGGGCCCCAGGCAGGTGGCCTGGCTCCTGTCCTCTGCCAGTTACATTCAGGAAGCCGCCTCCAGACCCGGCTGGAATGCAGCTCAGCACGGAATTTGGAGCTGACCAGACTGTATGACAAACCTGGTCATCTTGCATGAGTCACTTCAGCCCTCATACCCCAGGCCCCCCTGCTCCCCCCAGGGCACGCTGCCTGGTACAGTGTCAGGGCTCAAAACATGGAGGCCGACCTCGTTTCTGAGACTGTGCATGCCACAAGCACCCCACGGGGAGCAGGGGCTTTTCTTCCCCCTGCTGGTGGCCACCCCCTTTCCTCACCCTGCACTGGGTGACATGGGAGAGCCACCCTCTTCCTGACCCCTACCATCCAGGAAGCAGAGGGGGGGCAGGGCTCAGGCGAGGTGCCACAGACGGAACTCTGGGTTGTCCCCTCCCAGTAGGGAAAGGGCTGCAGCAATGACAGCTCTTGCCTCACAGGTTGTTCAGATGAGAAGTAAGTGAGCCAGGCCACTGAAAGCCAGGCCAGCGGCGTGTGCTAGGACTCCTGTCTGAGTGACGAGTTGGTGCCAGCCCACAGATGCCATTTCACAGCATTGTCACAACGAGCCTGAGGTCAGGTCTATTGTCTTCCCCACGTCACAGATGAATAAACTGAGTCTCAGAAAGGTCCCCAGGACACTGGCTTGGAAGGTCTTGTTGCTCTTGATGTGGTTTGCAACCCTTAGTCCCTCTCTGTGAGGGCAGGAGCTGTGCCCGACTGCCCGGGGACTTCCTGGGTCAATGGAGGCATGGTCACCAGAGCCAAGTGTGGCAGGCACCACATGTGCCATGTGGGTGTGCCAAGGACACTATTCTTAGACTTCAAAGGTAAAAAATGACACACCAATAAAACCCCAACAAACCTGACCTTACAGTCCTTAGCACCACCATGCCATCCCAGGTGGTGGGATTTCCCAAAAGCAGTGCATGTCCCCGGGTGGTAAAGACATCTGACTTCACATGCACGTGGCCCTGGGATTACAGTCCTTAGCACCACCATGCCATCCCAGGTGGTGGGATTTCCCAAAAGCAGTGCATGTTCCCGGGTGGTAAAGACATCTGACTTCACATGCGCGTGGCCCTGGGTCCAAGCCTTACCACCCCTGCTGCCCCCACCTGGGTGACCCTCCCTACCTGGCTGAGCAGAGCCTGTCCTGGTGGCCTCCTGCCTCCCCAGAGCCACTCTGAACCTTTGTGGCAGTGGGTGAAGCGACTGAACTTGTGGTTGGAAGAGACAGACAAATGATTACCAGCCTTTATGGAAACATTAGTGACGTGCCAGGCACTGAGGGTGGCTCATCTCCCTAAGTGCTCACAGCAATGCTATTCTGACCCCCAGAGGCTCAGAGGGTCTGTGACTTGCCCAAGGTCACACAGCTAGGAAGCAGCAGGGCTGGGACTCACACCCGGGCCTCTGCCGCTCAGCACATGCCCTTAGCTACTGGCTGCATGGCTGTCTACTTGCTTAGGAACAATGGTGACCAAGGTGCAGAGGTGGTGACCCTTCCCCAGGGAACCCAGGACTTTCTGCTAGTCTTTGTAGGAGAGGATGGGTGTGTGTGCATGTGTGTGCACGTATGTGTGTCTGGGAATGTGTGTGTTTGCGTCTGTCTGTGTGTGTGTGAGAGAGAGAGAGAAAGAGAGAGAGGGAGGTATGTGTCTGGAGCACACAGACAGACAGACACATGAGTCTTCGGAAGTGAGGGAGTAACAGAGGTGGTCCTGGACACTTGCAGAGCAGAGGCCTCCCCAGATTCCTGCTGTGATTGGAGACACAGCCATTCAAAGTCAGACCCCAATACCTTGCCTAGGTCTGGACCCCTGAACATCCAGGGGAACCCAGTCACTGAAGGGACAACTCTTGGACAGGGCACCAAACAACACAGCTAGGTAGTTACCTTTGACCATGACTTGGGAGGGTCTCAGGGACTGCAGGTTGTAGTAAAAGGGCTGTGGGTGGCCAGGCAGGCTCGCAGGTGTGGAGACATCCTTTCCAGGTGATGGCTTCCCTGCAGCAGTCCTGGCCGGGTGGGGTTTTGTAAAGAGCTAGAAAGGCAAAGGGATATCAGGGGACAGACACACAGAGGAGGAACCATCCCTGAGCACACCGCAGCTGCATCCCTGCTCCGGGCGGTACCAGGACTGGGCCTGCTCCTGACAGAGCTGAGCATACACAGAACCCTCTGGTCCAACCCTCAGATGCTGCAGATGAGAGGTCTGGGGCTCAGAAAGAGGCAACTCCTTTCTCAAGGTCACAGAAATAGCTCTCCTGGCTGCCAAATCTCTCTTCTTCCCCAAGCTGCTTGGCAAAAGGCTGACCTTGTTGAGGATCCCCTGGTCCCTGGAAGAGCTGCCTTTCACATCATGGGGTCAGAGTGGCCCTCTTCCTTCCCTAGATCACATGGCTCCTTCATTTACTTGATAAATTTCTCATATTTTTCCCTTACAAACTCTCTGCAGGCTCATTTCATCCAGGCATCAAGACAAAATTCTTTGATAGCATCCATTCACATATTTCAAAGAGCACAGGAGAACCCATTAGTGGCCTTTCTCACTATCATTTTTCTCAGATCTCTGCCATCAAATTTTCCCTAATGACAAACTTTCTGCATAACTGGGTAGAACATTCAGCGTGAGGCCATGCCGCTTGACCAGGCCTTTGCCACGGGACTGGAGTGTGCAGCTGCAGTGGCTCCGGCTCTCCAGTCTCTCCTCCCAACTGTGCCCCCTCTGGGCTGCTCTCTCCAGCCATGGGCACCATCTTGCACCAGGCTAGAGGGAACTGAGGTGACAGTGGGCCCCAGCTGGGCAGGTGGGCAGAGACAGGGCTCAGGTTTGATGGGCAGCGAGCCTTGGAGGTCTTGGAGGAGCCTCAGCTCAGTTACAGCCCTTGATCAAATGCGGGTGATCAATACAAACAGAAATCGGGCCGGCCCGGTGGCGCACTGGAGAGTGCACCGCTTGGGAGTGCGGCGGTGCTCCCGCCGAGGGTTCGGATCCCATGTGGAAACCAGTTCCCGCTCACTGGCTGAGCGTGGTGCGGGCGCGACACCGAGGGTTGCGATCCCGTTACCGGTCAGTAAAAAAGACAAAAAGGAAATACAAACAGAAATCAGAACAATGATTTTTCAACGAGCAGTTAATAATGAACATTTTTCCTTGCACAGGATGACTGAAGCGTTCACAGGCTGGGTCCCTGAAACAGCTTTAGCAGGCACAGCCCCTGGGAGGGACAGTGTGCAGTCCTGGTGCACTTTGATCTTGTCTTCAGACTGAGTCTGCTTGGGAATGCTCATTCTTATGATTACTTAGAAATACTTTTTTAAGTTCAGATGATATATCATTAAGTAAAATCAGAATCTAAAATTTTGTGTGCTCCATCATTACACTGATGTGAAAAGATCGGTGCTATGGACAGGGACTGTAAGCACATAAAACTGGGCACAGTTGGATGGGGCTGGCTGCTGCTTTGAATTATTTTATTGTTTTATCTGTGTTATTATATATATATTTTTTATTTTATTTTATTTTATTTTATTTTTTTTTGTCTTTTTGTCTTTTTCCGTGTCCGGCAACGGATCGCAACCCTCAGTGTTGCCCCCGTCCCAGCCCGGGGACTGGCAACGGGATCGCAACCCTCA